ATAATATAATAGTCAGGTTTCTTTAAATTTTTCGAATCAGTTGCGTTGTGTGGTAGGAGTTGCGGTTGACTTGAATGTTTGCTCGATGTATTGTGCAACACACTGCGTAGCCACTGCGAGCGCTCCCGTAATAACCAGTGCAGCACGATAACGCATCGATATACGCTCAGCCCCAGACTCATGCAAACACAAGAGCACGCACGCGACATCCAAACACAGTATACGGCCAATGAGGACCACTCCTTTGGCACATTCACACATTCGTATTCACTCTACGTACGTGAATACCTGAGAACCATTTGTAAAGTATCCTGATGCGTTGGGTTCATCATCCCCTAGCACCGTATGTGGGTAAAGATTACTCTGTAAAACCCAAACTACTCGACCATATGAGGGTCAGCTTTAGCTCAGACCACTGGCTAGACATTACTCTTTCAATTGGAGATAGGCATAGGGCAGTTTGATTCACTCCAACGAATTTTTTTCGCGTTGTGGAAATTGCGTAAATTTGCCTTTGCTATCAAGCTCAATGCCGTCTCCATATTTTGGAGTGTGAACCACTAATTTGTATTTTATGCATTTTACTGGCCAACTAACACAGTGGAAGAAGTAGTGAGGTTCCAAGAAACGTAAAGTTGGCTAAACGTTGCACATGTCTGATACATCTTAACCAAGGAGCAACCAAGCCGGGTTACTTGTACACTACCTACCTACTGCCCATTGCCAAGGGTGGCAATAACCCGCACTTTTGTTAGTTGCTCAGGGTGGAACCATACAATCAGACAAAAACAGATGCACTACTGAGGTAGAAGAGATGTGCCACATAAAATATATGAACTGCTTTGTTTTTGAGTTTATCATCATGTAGCATCTAAAGTTCTCTGCCGTCTACCACGATTGACCTCAGCCAGATATGATTACATCTTCATCTGATTGAATCACCGACCCAGGAAATGGGCGTTCCCCAGTAGAGCACCCTGCTTCCGTAAATAGTAATGAGCCTTATTGGGTCAACAAAGCAACTTCATTTATTATCGCGGTAGTTGCACTTTAATTCCTTTGCTTTCTGTATAGTGCAGCTGCTTACAACGAGTACACGATAGAAAGACCTGTGCCAATTTTCGTTGAGCAAGGTAAAAAGTGACGTCCTTGTAAGACACGAATGCATCAATTTAATCAGTTTTACTACTTTTGTCCAGCATGATTCATTCGCATTATATAGCGCTGAGGAAACATATGGGAGATTATCTTTTCTCAAAATTGAACATCCTGTTCTCCGGGCTTGATACTGGAATATATATATATATATATATAGGGATAAAAAACGCCACAAAAGCTACGAGGATGATCAGACTTTTGAGCCAAACGGTTTTGGTTGAAGGATTCACTTGTTCGCTTGTACAAGCCAGGGCGTCATCATGATGTTTCAGGTAATAGCATGTAACCATGAAGACGGCAATAAATAACTTCCGCTACGTCAGCCGTTGTTAGCTGTCCCAGTCGGGTCCTCCTGTTTGCAACTTACCATCAGCTACAGCTACAACTAGCCCTGGTTGCGGCTTATTATTTCCTAGTCCATCCTCGCAGTGGTACCCTGTTCCTAAGCTAATCCAGTATAGGAGATGGTTTTATTCGAGCCGCGTGATGAATAGATGTGATATTGACCAAACGGTCAGTATCAGGAGCTCTGGTGACCTCAAAATAGGTAGATGAGTTCAGTCACCTCTGAAGCAAACAGAACAGCAACCTAGTTTGATGGAATTTCCAAAAGTTAGGATCCGAGATCCACTTACGATCGTTTAGTCGGCTGTCATGTTGCCCCCAACTCGGATTCTGTTTAGCCACTAGACACTCTGGCCGTTGGCACTTCGCCTGGTGTGCACCACGGAACACTCACTTACAGCACATCTGTGGTGTTCGTTTGAAAATAATTGCAAGTAAAAGCTGTTAGTCCTCTCCGTTTTATTGGGTTTTTGTGAACTGCAATATTCTCAGTTTAGTTCGGTCTGGTTTCTAGGGCGACAAATGTGCATTTGCATAGACTTGATATGGCTTAGTATTAGTTGTGCGGTTATAATAAAGCGGACACGGACTTCAAAGATTAAGGTAAATTTTTCACCACAGGCTGTTTGTATAAAGAGGCAAATTTCCTGGATTTCTAAACATCCCAGTCATTATAAAATTATTTCTGACCTCACTAAGCAAACTGGTCTTCTGGAGACCAGCCATGCCACTCCTGCACTTTTCAAATCTCACAACGAACTTTAGCATTGTATTAAGCTACTGATACAACACTGTTTATGGCACTTCTGTCTGACGCTACGTCTTGCTGTGGAGAGACATTTATGCATGTTCAAAATCAGGATTATTCTGTTTGAACATATAACTACATAGAACACATTCATCCAAGCGGCCTAATAAATTTCCGCTCCAGGACTCTGATCTCACAACCCACTTTTGACCCATGATCTCTTTCAATTTGACCCTCTAATATTGTAACAGAGTCCCATCTTACAAACTGGTGTGGTTCTCGCTACATAGTGATAAGTTCAACTGTTCCTTAAATTTCAAGATCGGTAACCAAATTTGAGTCCAGAATCCCAAATAAAACCTTGCTTTGCCGTTATAATTAGCGTGTGACTTTGGTAAATCGTTACTTAAGAACTGCAAAATACTATGTGGCAATTAATGTGAAAGTTACTCAACAAACTTAGTGCGACCGCAAAGGGTAGTACCTGACGCCCATTTTGACTGCCTACCGTTACCTGCAATACAGAGTGGGCTGTGTTGACGCAGTGGTACACCGAGGAAGCAGCATGCAACAATCAATAACGACAGATCGCAAATTCTGTTTATGAGATATCCATCTGCACATTAGTGGTCATTTGGACTCTGGGCAGGATGACGTGGTCACTGGACGAACACCATCGTACCATGTACTAAATCGGCTGTTATAAGCCGTCAAAGAAGAGCAGCACATTGTGTATTGGGCACCCAGCAATCACATCTGGATACGCAAGATAGCATTTTTCAAAGGCTATGTGGTTAAATTGTCCACACTGCTAAACTGCAGGTTCGAAATTCCATGGGGTTCAGTGGGATGCGCACTGCTGATGAGACAGTTTCTCGGCCTTTCAGCATAGATGGGCTTTATCTGCAGGTCGAAGTATCCGTTGAGAACCAAGTGTTCTATATGTGTCCGTTTATGTCCGTTTACTCCAAATGAATCCTGTTAATTTACTGATTTATACCTTGAGTTACCATTTGGCGAAATATGTTTATCTGTAAATTGTATCGTTGAAAACGCGGGACTCAGGTAGGCCTCAGGTAAACCACAAGTGTACAGTAAATTTCGAATGAGTGTACTGAATAACGGCCGCCTCATATTTCAGTTAGTACGATATTTGATAAAACAAACTACCTACAAAATTTGATGAGTGCTTGAAAACCTCACGACCGATCACGTCCATCTTTCAGCTCATCAGGCAGGCGCAACTTCCGACTTCTCATTGAAACGTTCGGTTGAGAGATATTACAGAGAGACTGTTTAGTTAAAAACCAGTTGTTTCTTGTCGAAATCAACTTAATTTGCAGATGAATGCACCTCACCAAAAACGTGCAGTTTGATGCTGAAAATGAACTTGATGGAAACTCAGGGATTGCGTTTACCTGGTGAGCCTCAATCAGGTCATAAACCGGTCGTGGACTGTAGATTTTCCGACTGCCTTATACTCATCGCGTTATGTCAGAAAAATGAGTATCCTTCCGATTGAACTTTAAGTGTTCGGCTCGCTGAGATACCCTTTCAAGGATTAGGTGCTCAAGTTCCCTATCCTGGTTTGAAAGTTGATGGCATTTCAAGCTAATTAAAATATGGAAGACATTTCTTACAGTTCTGTTGGCATTGAATGTTTAATTTCAAACACCTGTTAACTTTAGAATCCGAATATCGACTGTCCTTGACTGGGTCAATTTTCTTGAATACAGTCATGGTGAAATCATTGGAATAAAATAGTGATCAGCTGACTTGCAGCAAGGTTTCTATTGTGAATTCCGTTGCAATAAAGTAGATAGCGAATATGTGAATTATAAGCTTTACAAAACGATTTTGCTTAGAGATGCACATCAGAATGATTTTTGGGGGTGTGGAATCTAGGAACAGAGTAAGGCAGCTTAATCTGTGAGGTGCTTAACTATTCCCTTCTGTGTTCAGGACATACTGTTTGCAAGCAGCACTTCTTATTAAGTCTCATTAGTGACTGAATGGGTTGCACCGTTGTGGGCTACAAAGTACGGCTCTATAAATTGAAAATCAGTTCGTTGGGTGTTCAGTTGAAAAGTGTTTGGCAGTTTGCTAAACAAGGTCAGTACCTTCAAGTTTCATTTTTGATGATAAACTGAAGGTTAGCGGGGTCTGACAGCACCCACTAGTACTGTTTGAAGACAACATTAGGACCAGATCCTCCGTAGATCAGAGATAGCCACCGTAAACTAAATAAGGAATAAGCCAAAAGACGCAGACCTTTTTCCATGGGATTCGTAAAACACCAGGCCGTTGCCGCCTTGGTTGCGAAGCATACATCAACCACACATCAGTGTAGCTCATCCTGTCAGTTTCTATCCAGTCTATCTGACTGAGTGTTGGAGATGTAGGTGCCCCGGATGTTTGAGGGAGGCTAAACCAACGTCCCCCTTCCCATTCCATTTCTTTTCTGTTTACTATGGGGTTGAATTAAGCTAAATTGATATCGCTGTAAAACAGTGTTTTATTCTGATGTTGCTGTCAGGGATGACGATAATGATGATGAAGATGAAGCACATTTCAGTCATGCAATAATCCGAACAGAACTTAACAAGAATCAAACTCTAAATGCGACCATGTTGGGTGAGAATAGTACTTGAGCTGATCTGTGTTGTTCCCCTTACAAGTGGTGCTCACAGTTACATCTCATCTAGTTACGCTCTCTCGTTTTCATGTTTCTTTTCACTTGACCTTGCAGATATCAGTTTCGCGCCTTCAAACACTACTTCCGATCGTGTCGTACTTCAGAGGCAAAAATATTTCGCTTTCAAGCAATCAGTCAATGATACATTCGTTTTCACAGCTACCAGCCGCCTCACAGTATCAGATATCACTGTCTATTGTGGACCCAAATGGTGAGTATACATCCGACGAATAAGACAGGGCATAACCAGCTATGAGCAGGGTGCGTTTCAGTTTTCGACCATATTCACTGTTGTTTAATGGGATGGGGCGATGTATTAAATCGATCCTTACAAGTCGTGACGTATCTCCACTACCCATCATTTTCTTCATTCAAGGAATTGCCAACTGTCTGTAGCTGGTTCTTCATTAAATAAAATTGAACCGCGGCTTGGCGTGCCTCATTTGGTTTGGCTAGCATTTTATGAAACGCTCATCACAACGCAAGAAAAAGCGGGCTCACAGCAGGGGCCCAGCTACCAGGCCTTTTGTAGAAGAAACAGGAACTTGCGTACAGGGAAGAACGAAATGTATCATGGTGTTTGTATAGGATTTCTTACCTGCCTACCAACGCTGGTAAGTAAAATAACCTTTTTTTCAAAATCCTTTAGATTTTTAAGGATATTTACGGGTTTGTATAAACATTCGCCACAATTATAAAGACTATCAAAGCACGGGAAAAAAGCACATACGAATCCGGGAGCTAACTAAAACAACAACAACAACCATCCAGTAACCATAAGAAGAACAGCACCAAAACTCTATTCAAGACTGGCGACATATTTCACCACCGCGGAACTGAGAAAGAATGTTTAGAGAGTTGTTAAACTATGGTCATCGAAGGAATTTTATGAGGTATAGCAAATCACCGACAGCAACTGCAACAAGTCATGTGTTGAAAGAACCCGGGGAACCAGATACTTGAATAAAAGAACATAGTGTAGCCTGCAGAAGACGTAGCCCTCCCTGTATTCGTGCATGTGGATGAAAAAGGCCACAAAGTCATTTTGGATAATCTGAAAAACCTGTCCAGCGGCAGCACAAGGCCGCTGGGGAGAAGGGCAATCCAAACATTTTGGACAACCCACCGGAGCTCTGGTTGATGTGGCTCAAAGGGTCACTGGATCGTTCGAGACTCACCATGAGACAGGCTTTCTATGAGTCATTTGCTCTTGGGTTTTGGACCATAAAGCTCTCCTGGTCTGAAGTGATTTGACTTTTCCCCCCCGATGATTAGCCAGTCTGCATATTTCTGTCACTTTGGCAACAGCGCGGGTCCGGCCCACACAGATGTGGTGTTGTGTCAATTCATATGGATAGGAAGAACATTTCATTACTTTTCGGCTCGGCATTTTGTCTGCAGATAAGTCACCCTCGAAGAAGTTCGTTTCCCAAGCTTCCTCTTGTATAGTTCTTGTATAGTAAAACCGACTTGTGTAATGTATCTAAGATTTCGAAGTCTCCAGCAGTTGCACTACCACATCCCGAGTATGACATCAAAAAAACTACGTCGCACTATGAAGGGACGAATAGCTTGACATTTGTATGTGCTGCGCACGACCCTTAACGGTGAGGATCGTCAGATTACAACTGATGCACACATTCTCGTTTTCCTTTTAGGAAATATTGATGTACAGGTGAATGTTTAGACCCGTAAAATCTTGGAATTTTACTCATTAAGAGAGATAACCGTATCTAGTTGATTCCAACCCAAGAGGAATACTTGCCCATCCTCAAAGATCTCCGTTTTCATGACGTTCACATGCATGTCAGGGAGCAAGACTATCCATTTTAGCTACTCCCCACTCGTAAGTTGTTGTTCATCCAGATGAAGGTGTTTGCAGAAAGAGAATGTGAGACGACAGCATTCTAAAATACGTCCTTCGGTCACGGATATGACGCACTGTATCTGCACGTAAAATATACGGTGAAACAAATGGACCATCAAATACTAGTTGACACTAAGTCTTGTGGCACAAGTTGGGTTTGAGTCGGCCCAGTGGAGACTATATGGTCCGAAACTTTGTTGGTTCTTGAACATTGATTACCACTGGTTCACATAGCGCTAATGGGATCGAATTGGGTTTGATCACCAGCATATTCAAAAATTGTGAATGTCACTTTCAGGTATTTTTCGAAAAATATATTGGGCAAATGATAACTTTTGGTTGTTCTTTTATGAAGTGCTCAGAGATCCATTGAGAACGGCGTCGATCCGTCCTACCTATGTTTCCATACAACTGAAATTCAGCTAATGAACGACAAATGCTGTATAAAACCCAGGCATAAAAAGAGCCTATCATAAAACACATGCTGTGATTGCAGGAATGAAGTTTAATTAGACAGATGATCAGCTGCGAAGTGATTGGACCTTATGATGATGTGGTAGTTTGGGTACCTCAGCTGGGTACCCCATTCAGCTGTACTGAAGAATGCCCATGCAACATCTACAGAGTAATTCCTGACGGAATAGTCGATGAATGGAGGTATAGAGTCACAACCTCCCGGCCCTTCAGTGTGGGGGTTAGGAAATGCACTGCGATTTGTTCCTTGAAACTTGGATTAATTGAGTCTTCTCAATACAGGCACCGCTGCCTAGCGCTTAGGTTTTGAACCAAAAGTATTAGTTGAGGACCTCAAATTCACACAAATAAAGATACCATCATACAGCTTTGCCCGTCGTTCGTTTTCATCAGCCAGCATGCCTTACTTGCTGCATACAGCAGGACGAGTAGGTCAAAGCTGTATGCACGTAAGCCAGTCACCTGTGAAATTCCGCGCCACTACATACACTTAACTCTCCGTGTCCAGTATTCAAGTCGTACCCGTTTTCAAAAAAGGTAGGCAAACAGACTCTTCCAGCCTTGGAACTCCCCCACCTACCATAACATGGTCGCTGACTTCCCTTATATGACCTCTGCTTTCCGAACGTGAGACGCAAACAGGATTTCGACCTAGCACAGGGAAAATCAATCAAACCAACCGCTGACCAAAAGTCGTGACTTTCCTCGACTTTAATGGATTGGCTGTTTTAGACATTCTCGGCTAAACAGGGACTAACCTGAAGACTTGTAAACATTTTTGGTGCCCTTTACCCCTTTATGGTGTACAGTGAACTGTCCGTGAGCATCCTGGCAGCTAGTGGTGTTTTTAAGGTTACTCCCTTTCTCCTCTTTTGTTCAATTACCTCATCGACGTCTAATTCATTTCTGGGGAGAGATCAATAGATTTCGACATGTGAACGACATTGATTTGTTGTTTGATGATTATTTGCCCCGGCAAATTGCTTTAAACAGAATATCATGCGTGGTCCCATCTCTCGGTATGCACATTTCACCTTCGAAGCGCAATGTTTCACTTCAGGATTCCCATCCCCTTGTAATTCTCTGAAACGTCAAAATTAAGAGCTGAAACTTGTTGATCAGATTACGTATCGGGACGTCTGCAGAAGCCGAAAGTGTAGTTTAACAAATAAAGGCAAGGCACTCATAATCAAGGCACCAGGAGCGTTCATAACTAGCGTCGTTTATGCCGTCAGAAGCTGATTTCGTTGAAGCCAAAGGTCCAGGTTCACTAGGTAAATGGAATATCGGACCTACTTTATGGTTGTGAAACGTGGCTGCCTTATCATCACCGGTGTTGCCGTAGCACGACAAGAGTTAGCCAGCTGCATCGATCAATCAGCAAGTTGGTGGGTTGGAAAGTGCTTGATAGGGAGTGAGAATCGTCAGAGCACTAGACTGAATTAACCAGGTTGAGGTGGTTGGAACATGTATTAAATAAGGTAAACCTTCTTCCACTCAAGAAATCACTGTTTCCTATTACAAGCGGTTCTTGGCGAGAGGTTCGCAAAGAAAAGCCGATACCCGCCAACGTGAAATGAACCCGTATACAGTTTAACTGAGTGCTGTCATATCCACGCATCTTTTCAGCTGGACACCATGAGATCCTGCTTGAAGATGATCAGAAGCCATGTAGTATATAGCACGCAACCTATCCCAGTGATATGTATACTGTCATTTCCTAACCGGACTATCTAGTCAAAATTCTCCTCGCGCGGTGCGTCGTGCTCATGTTGGGTGACGTTCGCTCTTCCCCCTCCTGGTTTGATCAAAGCTAAGTCTCAGTATGTATTACCGGTGTATTGCTGTCAATGGTATTGGTTATAAGCAGCTAGAAACGTGCGATTTGGGATGGGTTTGAACGCACATCCGACGTTGTTATCAATACGAACTTCCTTAAACACTGGGCACAATAGTTATTTTGGTGTTAAAGAGAACGCTCATCGTGCCAGATGATGTTTATTTCACTGTAAAGTGTGGTGAATCTCTTTGGGCAGTCCCAAAGATTCTGCTGCGCAGCCCAAGCCCAAGCATTTTTACTTTTTATGAAAGGACGTCAACCTGACCCCACTGATGAACACCACGTGCACAGCAAGTATTGATTTAATCCAGTTTCTTCCTTGGAGTTGGCTGCACTCCAAACCTCTCCCGTTAGCCTCGAGAGGATTTTTGATATATTTATTCTTTGAAACCATTTATGTTTGCCACTGACAAAAGCTGTTTGAAATGTTGAGTCCTCAGTGTCTTTTCTGTTTTAATGAAATACCAAATTTGCTGTCTTCGGGAGCTTTCAAAAACTTGCAATTTCCAACTCTCGCCTTGTGGGCTCGGGCGAGGTCCAGGCTGTAGTGTAAGTTACCAACATGAGACAGACACCTCAGCACTGCTTTACGCAACAGCTAACCGGTACACTCAGGAAAACATACCATGCTTGATGAAAAACCATACTATATATTAAGGCAATTGATTTAATGTTATGATGCGGTTCGCGTACTCAATCTTCCATCTAGAATAAAGTATCTGACAGCTCTTCACCAATACTTCATCCTCATATTGATTGAGTGCATATCAGGCTGGTTTATCCCATCTTTCTATTTACTTCTCCCCATAGAATCTACTGATCCCAAAATCTTCTGAAATGCCTGACACCAGTACATAATGAATTGGTGGCGAAATTTCAACGCTAATCACGAGATACATGGGATCTGATTTTATCATTTCATGTGCGACTGCAATTGGTGAACTAATCCATCCATGAAGAAACTGATTTAGACTTAACCCTTTGGACTTATGGTCAAATCGGTTTGTGTTTCTCATGTGTTACATAATCTTTATCTGACGAAACTCGCTCAGGTTCAGACAAACTTGCCACTCTCACTGTTTGGACCAAGCCGGAGACGTTTGCCACATCATCTAATCTGAAATTCGGAGAATTTACTTGGGAAGCCGAGAGTTCCCATTCTGTGACGGTCAAATTTCCAACCGTCATTGGTTACACTGGAGGTCCATTGAATGGTTTCTACATTGTGCTAACAAAAATTCCGAGGCTAACGGGTGAACACCAGATTGAGAACCTTAAGGGAAAATCATCAGCATGTGAGTTCAGTTTCGCGTGTGCTTTAGATGCCGTCATTCATTACTGTAACAGACCGTTCACCAACTGCAATCAACGATTCTGATTACGCTTTAGTTTCCCTATCTGATTTTTCTAAAAAAAATTTAACCGTAGACTATGGATTACAGTGTTTTTTATTCAGAGATTCGATTAATCGTCTCTGAAAACTGCGACCACCTTTTATTCCTGAGGTTCGGTGAATGTTCACTGCAGTTGGGCTGGTTCGTTGATTTTCGAACTAAGATACTCCTGGCCATTGGGTTTTTTTACCCACTGAGGAACAAGGCGCCCGTATTGTACTTCGGAAGCCTTGTACTGCTTTGCCTCGGCCAATAGCAAATGTGATTTTTCAATTTTACACGAAGGCACCATTTTTTTAAAGAAAAGTATGGACAGTCGAGGGTACTGTCGTAACGACCTTGACTCAGTATCAGCCTCTTTCATTGGAAGAAGCGAGAAAACCATATCCAGACCACGTAAGAAAAATTTAATATACTTTAAATTTTGCGTTTCAACGTTTCTGCCTCCGCATGGCTCCCTTGAATAGAGCAACCTGATAATGCGGTTATGAAATACTAGGTCTCTAATAACTTGGATATGAATTCGGGCACTTTTTTCATCCATAAATGGGGGGTTACGCTGCACACTAATTCCATTTACGACTAATTCCTTCATCCTACATGATGGTGTAGTTGCCAAGCCAGCGCCAACAGTCAAACCGTTCATAGTTCTTTCGGATATATTGCCTTTGTTACGCTAGGAAGATAACGGAGAAGCACAAACTGCCTGCATTTTTCGGCACCAGCTGCAGGATCAGATCAACTGTCTTTGATGGTTCAACGGTGCTCCATTCAGTTTTACGGAAACAGCCGAATTTCGCTGGTCATATCGTAATACGCTGATGCAAATTAACGAAATCCAACGCCTTCTAATTTAGAGGTCATGTGCAGGATGAAACTCCATGAGCTGGAAGTTTGTGGTCAACTCGTTGGTACGGTGTGTAGCACAAGGGCTGCCTCGAGTTTCCTTTGCAAAAATATCTAATAGAGTTTTGTTTCCAAATTAGATGGACGTTATCGAGTCTCCGGCCCAAGAAGCTTTGTCGTACATACGAGCCTTAAAATAAAACTGCCGAATTTCTGTTCAAGGCAGGGACTAATTATCCAAGCTTCTGGGAACTACGCCTACCTGATGAGCCCCATTCAGGGCGAAACCAGTAATGGGCTGTCCGCGGATTTTGAGCAACCATCCCACACTACTTAACTGGAAAAAATCCAGTGGTACATTCAGGGGTTAGAATTTAAGCCAATTCACTGCGTTGTCACTTTTTTCATTTCAGATGTAGGTTATTTATTTATGATGCAAGATAAGGGGGCCGATAGCTTACATGTGCATAGGTTTTATATTTACGTTGTCATACCAACGTTCACTGATACTTCTCCATGTGAATCTACTACTGGAGCATTCACAGTATCACTTATTTTGTTCGTCTACTACATTACGAGATTTCAGCCTACCTGTTACCTTACTCAAGGCCGTTGAATTTCACCTCGTCCGAAACTGTTGCTGTACATTTGAAGATACACCACTGGAATTCTGATATGCTTACCAGAGATAAATGTTTACCAAATAGACTCGAGTTCCTATACGATAAACCATAAGTCGAGTTGTCCATACAGTGAAGGATTTGGTGCGGAATGATCAAATTTCTGTTCCGAAAGCTGAAATCAAATGCAGTACTCATTTTTGAGCTGTTGAGATCGTTGAAACCGATTTCTGATTCTATTAGGCCTCAATCGTTCGTCACGGGTAGCTTTAAGTCACTAAATCATCAAGCACTGTAGTTTGGTTGCATCACTCCAACTCATTTGCTGCCAGAGTACCTCTTGCCCTAACCAATTTGCATCACTATGGAACTCTTTAAGTCTATTCGTCTTTCAAAGAACCAAACCGCAGTCAGTTAAGTTATAGTTGCAGTAGCGCCCAATCTGGGACGCTAACCGCAGTTCCCTGGAACGAATATCTCAGGCGATGTTAGGCAGAAAACCCTGTTATTTGGTAAATACATCTCAAAATATAGTGTAGTCAACTCTCGTCCAAAATAGCTCTCTCTGTATGTTCAATTTATGGCGCTTTTAAAAATTATTAAATGATTCTGGTGGCTTCTGGGAGCTGGTAAATTTATGACAATTGAGTCAATTCAAAGGCCATCAATAAAAGTATATAAATCGTTTAGCTGTAACAACCCTTCGGTTCCAAGCTGCCATGCCACACGAAGGGTGGAATAATGCCAGGTTGCTCAAGGCTAGGAGAAGCCGACATGCAGAGGTTGGGTTTGAACCACGGACCTTCCGGTCCGTAAATTCGCTCTCTAAACACTCAGCCATCTAACCCAATGCTTTTCTTCACCAATCCTTCTTACTGCTACTGACTTTAATACTTATGGCTATTTTCATGTACAGTCTTACGAAGTTCGCGAAGATATCTTCCGTGTGACTATTCATCAAGAGTGGCAAAAAACAGCTGACCTAACAGGTCACATAAACACAACAGATGTGGTCTTCAAAAACTTAGGGGTCTCTCAAGACCAAAAGTAAAACCTTTCATTTACAGAAATAAGTATTTGAATACTGTTTTCTCTTCAATAAATCGAAAAAGCAGTTGTGATCACTATTGCCGAAATTCAGTTCTTAAAATTATCTTGGAACTTCGGTTTCTTTCAGGATTATGTTCTGAGGGGTAGGGGACTCTGATGGTAAGTATGGTTTTGATATTCACGTTTTCCTCCCACTAATGGCAGCACTACTTCGTAGCTTATACACTGGGATACCCAATTCGCCATGTGAATCTCTGTTCGAGTCCAAATGCTATTATTGTAATGAAGCTAACGGATTTCGACAAATACACTCATTTGCAAATCAATTTGCCTTTCACGGGAGACTCAACTGAATCTCTCGTTCATGATATTTTTAATCTGAATGTCCTGCACAATGGCCGCCTCATGTTTCACTTGATACGATGTTCGAGATATCGCAGTATACTTTCATTAACGAAATCAGTCCAATTTGTGTCCAAGTAGAACATAAGGTTGATGGGAACTTGAAGACTGTGGCTACCTGAGAAGCACCGGTAGTGTTCTGTCGATGTTTTCAGTGAGTAGCTTGTGAGTAGCTTCGTTTACGAAGGTGGCTAACACATGTTTTCTGACGGAATAATGTTCATAAATTTGCTGAAAACTCTTCGACATCTCACGATTGTTTTCATCCTTCCTGTGGCTCATTAGGTGGGCGCAGTCCCCGATGTCCTTTGCTTCCCATGTCGACATACTAAGTGTGGATGGATTGGTAATGTGAATATCATACGATATATTGTGCTGAGAGTGACGATCATGAGAAGACCTGTTTGTGACGAATCACAAATTTTCAGGTACATTTTTCCCGTTGAACTGGCACCACCTTGTATAGCATCTGGGTGCTCAGAGCTTGAGCCAACAGTTAGAAATTGACTGTTTCGTATATCGGGTGGTACACGGGGCCACTCGCTAAAGAAACCAATACGGACCATTGTTCTACTGTCAAAACAAGCCAATGAAATACGTCGTTGTCTCCTGTGTACATAGACTCAATTGATAGGGATCAATCCGAATAGCCTCACCAAATGCTAGCAGTTTTACAGTAGCGTTTCGTTGTTAAGTTCTGAGCGATCTCTTTTGGTTAAGCAGATAATCTGGATATGTTTCGCAGTCGATGAGTTAGGCTTCTGAGCTTGATCTTGCTCCACTCAATCACTTGATTGCAGTGACCAGGCCTACTGTCCAAAGCACATTGGAATAGGCTCCGGTCTGTTCTGACGATGTAGGTGTCGCCCCAACGGCAGGTAAACTGATATGCAACATGTGAGGCAGAAACATTGAACGAATTAGCGTTTGAAGTACTTATATTGACTTGCGTCCGTGTCATAGGATAACAGGTTGTGCGGCTGGATGCGTACAACCAATTCAAGTCGGTACGCTGTGCCTTATAGGTGTGGCTAGGTAGATGTTTTTAAATTGCAGTTCAATAAGAATACCTTTCTTTTTAACCATACGAACTGTATCGTGCTGCCATTATTCTGCTAGGGAATGGAATTATATACTCCTGGTAACTGACGGACTGTAATGTTGTTGTTAAAATTTCTTCTTCCTGCTGAAAGAGTATATATATATATATATGTATGCGCATGTATATATATTATACATATGGGTGCCAAAATTATAGAGGACATGCAGTTAAAAAATAACAACAAAGAACGCTTGCCGGAATTTTGGATGATCTACAGAAATCATGCCAGAAACAGATGTAGTCGTTTACTTTACGAGGCAAGGAGAAAAATAGCTGGAAAGTGCCACTGCCGAT